CAGGTGCTTGGCTTGGTTCAAAATGTGTTTTGTTTAAAAGGTGCTTGGTTTGGTTTAAAATGTGTTTGGTTTAAAAGGTGCTTGGTTTGGTTTAAAAGGTGATGGTGTAAAATGTATGGGTTTAGCATGTATGGGTTTAAAATGTGTTTCCAAACTCCCCCCCATTGTCCTCTTTCTCTCTGTCTTCTCTTTTTGTGCATAAAAAAACAAACCTTTGTCTGAGGGGTCTGTGTGCCCCAGTGATGACCTTCTTTCTTTCCTCTTTTGCCCTTTGTTCCCTCCCTCCCTCCTTTCCTGCTCTTTTTTTAACCTAAGTCATCTTAGGTTAAAAAAAAATTCCCCATAGTGATAGAGAACAGATTAACCAGTTTTGCATTAGTTCCTATGGGAACAAATGTTTTGACTTCAACCAGCGCCTCTACATACAAACAAAAAACAGCCGGAACGGATTAATCAGGTTTCAATGTATTTCAATGGGAAATGCTGATTCAACTTACGAACATCTTCTGGGACAGATTAAGTTCGTAAGTCGAAGCGCCACTGTAACTGCAAATACAATCATGTTGATGATCTTGGCCTCGGTCTCCAGCAACACACATTCTTTAGTTCCTTCACAGTTGCCTTTTCAAGTCTCAGTGTTCTTCTAATTACTTGGCTGTATCTCCATTTGGTTTGATAACTGAAGCAAGGTATATAAAATCTTCAACAATTCTAATTTCTTCATTCTCAACATTGAAGTTCCTTAGTTCTTCTGCACACTTTTTATCTTCTTAACGTTCAACTGCAGTCCTACTTTTGCAATTTATTTCTTTACCTTCAATTAAGTCATGTCAAGTCACTGCTGCTTTGTACAAATAATGTGTCATCTGCATATCTTATATTACTGAGGTTTCTTCCATAAATTTTCATTTCACCTTCATCTGAATCTAGTTGTATGATACGTTCTGCATATGTACTGAAGAGATAGAGACATAGAATAAACCTTTGCCTGACACCTTTGCCTAAGGGGAACCGTTCTGTTTTTCCATATTCTGTTCTAATTCTAGCTTCTAGAAAGAGCCTCATGGCACATCAGTTAAACTGCAGTATGGCACTTCATGACCCGAGTTTGATCCCAGGCTTAGGTAGCCAGCTTGACTCAGCTTTCCGTCCTTCCTAGGTTGGTAAACTGAGTTCCCAGCTTGCTTCGCTTCACTTCACTTTGCTTTTTGTCCACAATATAGATTACGCATCAGGCCAATTAGTACAGGCTAACTTTCTTCTGAAATTCTTTGGTATGCTCCTACAGCCAATGTATGTTTGCAATTTGATCTCTAGTGCTTTTCCCTTTCAGAATCCAGCCTATCACCCATTTCTCACACCATGTAGGGTAAAAGATTTTGTTGTAACATCTTGAGTATCAAGTCACTTGGCTAGCTAACTGTACGCCTTGGTGACTCTTTATTGAACATTCCCAGTCTGTGAGCCATCAGTTTGTTTTTCATTTGTTGCAAATTGGTCAGGTGAAATACTAGCAGGAGGCCCATCACTTAGACCAGTGATGGCGAACCTATGGCACGTGTGTCACAGCTGGCACGCGAAGCCCTTTCTTCCGGCACGCGGCAAACCTTTTGAAGTGGCTACAGCTGGGATTCCCCCTTTCTCTTCCTGTTTTGGATCCTTTAACTTCCTGTCTGTCCCCATGATTCCCCCTGAAACTGCCACTTCCTGTTCCGGTCTGGTCTTCCGGGCAGCACGGCAGCCACTGGTTTCTTCCCCACCCCCTCATTTTGGGCAGGCGAGCCAAAAAAGGTTTGCCTCCACTGACTTAGACCAATTCCGAATAGATCGCAAACTATACGGAAAAGTTCTGCCCGCTGATTTGAAGCTTTGCTTATCTGGATAGTGAAGTGAGCTCGACTAGCAGCTCTCACCTCAGCAAGGTAATGGTTAGCGATCCGGACTGCTTTCCGATTATAATCTGTTGGGTTCTGTCTCCAATTGCACTCTGGCCTTCTCCTGTTTTGCTTCATAAATTGCAGCTCCTGGTTAAACCAGGGCGCAGTCCAAGCTTTGCGTCAGAGAGGACATTTCGGCACAATCGTGTCTACAGCCCTGGTGGCGGCAGCAAGCCAGCCATCAACCAGAGCCTCGACAGGAGCGCCAGTCAGATCAACCAAAATCCCTCTCATGGAATCCTAGAATCTTATAGGATCCAGTAGCTTTCGAGGGTGGACCATTAAAATAGGTCTTTGCTCCCTGCAGGGAGGGAGAGCCACTAAGAGGTTACATTTTATTAGGTGGTGATCCAACCATGACAAGGGAACTGACACAAGGTCAGTCACCATCAGACTGCACTCATTCCGCTTAGTGGAGAACACCAGGTCCATCGTGTGACCATCCACGTTGGTGCGGCCGTTAACATTTTGGGACATGTCCAAGGAAGCCAAGGTTTCCAAGAACTCAAGAGCCGGACCAGAAATCTCTGCCTCCGCATGGATGTTGAAATCACCCAAGACCAGAAGCCTTGGGGATTCCAACTGTGCCGCGGAGACAAAGTCTGCCAGCTCCGGTATGGAAATGGCTGGGTCGTGGGGAGCGTGGTAACCTAGCAAGATCCCAATACCATCCCTGGCCCCAATCAACATGTGGAGGGCCTCCAGACCTGGCTTCACCATCATAGAGCACCTAATAACCTCCAGAGTGTGTCTATAAACAATGGCTACTCCCCTCCGCCCCTCCAGGCTACCCTGGTGCTGGACAGCATAACCGGGAGGACAGGCAAGAGTCAAGGGAACACCCCGTTCCCAGCCCATCCAAGTTTCGGTTATGCATGCAGGTCTGCATCCTCCTCCAGAAGATTCCTTTAGTTATCTTTTTCAGCTTTACTCTGATTTTTTCATATTAAAACTTTGTTTTAATATGAGCGCGTTCCTCCCTGTCGGAGAGCCCAATATAGTCCCTCGAAGAATCCTGCAAAGGTATAGGAGGTATAGAAAGAGGCGCAGTAGCCAGCTTGGCTAAGTCCTTTTGGCTCTTAGGCTTCTCCTTGTCCTTTTTCTTATTTGCAGGATCGGTAGACCGTGGCTGAGCCTTGGAGGAAGCCAGCTTAGGCGGTTTTTTTGAGTTCTTGGATTTAACAGGTAAGGAAGTCGTGCTGGATAAAGACTGGGCAATAGGGCTAGTGGCTGATTTAGCAGCCTCCTAGCAAGGCAGGTTCGACAAAGGGAGGACTGTAACCTCCATAGTAGGGTTCAGAAATTTCGCGTAGAGAAAAGATTTGAATCGTTGGAGCCGCAGCTTAATAACCTGCTTGGAAAAACTCCTGCATGCAGTGCACAGTTGGGTGAGATGGGATTCCCCCAAACAAAATAAACAGAAACTGTGCCCGTCTGTAAGTGGAATTTGTCGAAGACAAACGGAGCACTTCTTAAAGCCCCAAGGGGCCATAAAAAAAAAGGGAAAAGAAAAGGGGGAAAACCATTGAGGGAATGGGGGGGACGATAGAATGGGAAAAAAGGATTAACTGGAGGTTCTATCGTCAGAAAAACGAATAGAATAAAATAAAATAAAGAAAAAAGTTTCAAAAGATAGATTTAGCAGAGCTAAAATCACTATCCTTAGTGCTCTAGTTCCTAACGTCCTACTCGAACGGTGAAAAAGAGGACAGTCAAAGGAAAGTTGGAGGAGGCGGAGCTCATACCCTGCCGGGGGGGGGCAACTAAATGACCTTTTTTTCCTAAGCTCTAGAATCTTCTGAACGTCCTGCACAGGCGCAGGATAAGCCCATTTGTGTGCATTCACAAACGACACTACGAAGAAATACTGTACTCTTTTTTCCTATTAATGGATACACTACCTCCAATCCCACTGATTACACTTCTCACATCACTGTGTATAGCATGAATACTAGTTTATTTTTGCTTCCTTAGAGTGTCTGAACAAAGTATTAATAATAGCATTCAAAATAATTGTGTTCACCACCTTCAATTCTGGAAAGAAATTCAATGTGAAAAATAAATGTATAAACTTACTTCGTATTTGTTTAATTATAGGTTTCATAGGTTCAAGCCAGATCTGAAGTAGAAAAGATAAAATAAAATAAAAACTGGGTAGTTTTCACAGCAAAACACAGATATACACAGCAAAACAGTAAGTCAGATAACTTTAATAGTTTTAACTTCCTTATCATATCCCCTACTTGTTATAACCATTATCTTAGCTAGACAGTAGTTCTCACAATAAAGCTATAGCTACCATATTTTTCCATCTATAAGACGCCCCCAAGTATAACCCCCCCTACACTTTTCTAACCCAAAATTATGGAATCTAAGTGGGGCTTAGCAAGTGGAGAGGGAAAGGAATCAAAGTGCTGCAGGATCGCTTTGATCCCTGCTTTCTCCCTTCATGCTAAGCCCCAGAACTGCACAATTGCTTTGATCCATTTCCCCCTTTTGCGGGATTGCTTTGATCCTTCCCCCCCCCCGCCTTTTGCTAAGGTGCTTAGCAAGTGGAGGGGAAAGCAGGGATCAAATCCACTTGTTTTTGTTTTTTCCTTAGTTTCCTTCCATGTATAACAAAATTCTAAATTTTTAGTCTAAAGATTTTAGACAAAAAGTATCATCTTATACATGGAAAATATGTTAGTTACTACATAAAGATAATAATCGAATGCCATAAATAAAGCCAAATGAAGTGCATGTTTTGATTTATTTCAGAGAAAAAAACAATATAAATACTTCTGCTATGAATTCCATGGCCCAAGAAATTTGTGAAATTTTCTCTCAAGTGAGAAAAGTGGGGCTGGATGAAATATTTCCCAGAGTTGAGATACAGGGGATTCTCACAGCAGGAAAGACAAGAATTACTGCTGGAACTTTTTTCCACTTTGTGAAAGCATATATTCATGCAAGAAAGCTTTTTTTCAGCTAGCTGACATTCCACAGACTTAAGTTATATAAAGCTTTATAAAACATGGGGATTTAGTAGAATGACCTATGTAAATGTAAAAACCTAAGGTTTCTACATATAAGCATGTAAATTCTATTATCAAATTAAGTACATCTGGTACATTTGTGAGAATAATTGCAAGATTTTCTTTAAACATATTACATACTCCCAGTTTATATTGTCGTAGTAACCCATGAAAGCAAGATTCCAGCATACTTACCGGTACATAATCAGTGGCACACATATGTATATGAATCTTTAAGAATACAAAGTCAAATCTGTCTCAACAAGTTCAATGTCTCCTAGTTCCCTAGGCGAACCTACAAGATATACTTTAAAAGCATGTTTAACACTCACAGAATAAAAAGCTATAGGCAGAGTTGCAGGTGTAGGAGTAAGTTCTGGTTGGCCCTAAGAGCCACATGGCACCTGCAGACTGCCATATAGGCTGAGGGCTACCCACATGAGATTTTTCTCCCCTTTTAGAATAAAATCATATTTTTAAGATAAAGGTGCTGTGCAAATTGCCACTCAGTGAAGTGAAATTCCAATTTATGAAAGCTATAGTTCAGTTCAAAAGTGTTAACTAAATGGTGTGTTTTCTTTAAATATAATTATTTGAAACACAGCAATAACTGAAAGACAAAAAGATGTGACAAAGTGCTCAAAGATCAATGAGGACATAATGACAACTAAGTCACCATGGCACAGCTTTTCTTGCCCATAGTACTGTCCTCTTCTCACGCATTAAACAAAATTCTGATGCAATTTCAACTCTAGTAGATTCAAAGTTCTACCCTTAACAATACAGAACTTGAAAGGGAATCTAGTCTGAAAATTTTACAATCAGATAAAAGACTGGTTACATACCCAATATGACTGCATGTTCTGGAACTCAATTCCAAAGTAGTCAGACTCAACCAAATTCAGATGATTAAATACGTCTGTCAACAGTTTCTGGCCATAACATTTTGACTGGAAAAATAAGAAGAAGTCAAAATGTGAACCTAGGAACTCAGGAACAAAATACATTGAATCTTAAAAAGCACTAGCTCCTGGTTTCATAGCTTCATGAAATGTGAAAAAGATGCAACCAATTTATGACAATTAAGACCATGTCAATACTCATAGCTATCAACATAATGCACTAAATTTCCTCTTTCCTTGCATTACCTGTTATTCCATGTGGCTTGGATCCCAAAGGACAAGTAATTTATCTTCAACTGAACTTCTTTAAATCAGTGGTTCTTAACCTTTGTTATTCAGGTGTTTTTGAACTGCAGCTCCCAGAAACCTCAGCCAGCAGAGCTGATGGTGAAGGCTTCTGGGAGTTGCAGTCCAAAAACATCTGAGTAACAAAGGTTAAGAACCAGTGCTTTAAATGACAATCTGTGCAGATACAAATACAGGCTGCACCCATCAAGAAAACACAAGTCATGGGCCAAGGCGTGGACTCACCTCCCTCTATTACCATCTCCACACAAGAATTGGAGGTTGTTCATGATTTTGTGTACCTTGGCTCAACGATTTCTGACACTCTCTCCCTAGATGTCGAGCTGGCAAAGCAGCTACCACATTCTCTAGATTCACAAAGAGAGTATAGCTTAATAAGAAGCTGATGGCATACACCAAGATCCAGGTCTATAGAGCCTGCGTCTTGAGCACACTCCTGTATTGCAGTGAGTCCTGGACCCTTTGTGCATGGCAGGAGAGGAAGCTGAACATGTTCCATATGCACAGTCTCCAATACATTTTGGTATCAGCTGGCAGGACAAAGTTCCAAATACAGTAGTCCTAGAACAAGCTGGAATTTTTAGCATGTATACATTACTGAAGCAGCGACGTCTACGTTGGCTTGGGCATGTTGGGAGAATGGCTGATGGTCAGATTCCAAAAGATCTCCTGTATGCACAATTAGTGCAGGGAAATCGCCCCAGAGGGAGACCACAGCTGTGATACAAGGATATCTGCAAGCAGGATCTGAGGGCCTTAGGAATGGACCTCAACAGATGGGAAACCTTGACATCTGAGTGTTCAGCCTGGAGGCAGGCGGTGCACCATGGCCTCTCCCATTATGAAGAGACACTTGTCTAGCAGGCCAAGGCAAAGAGGCAGTCCTGAAACAAGGAAAATCAGGGAGCTGGACAGGGGGCAGACTGTATTTGTCTTCAGTGTGGAAGGACTTGTCACTCTCGAATTGGCCTTCTCAGCCACACTAGATGCTGTTCCAAGTCCTCCATACACAGCATGTTACCATAGTCTCTTGAGACTGAAGGATGCCTAATCTAAATTGTCGCTCTTTGATTTCGTTTGTTTTGTGTTTCTTATATACAGAAATTGATCAATGGATGAGGAAGATGTTTGACATGGTATCTCAAGGTGAAGTGGGATCTACTTGATGTGTACAGGGCCAGGCAACATAACCTTATCAACTTTATATGCCACAGATTGCAGCCTGATAAAGGGGCAACCCGAAAAGTGCTTGTACCTATACCTTGCACTTTGGAATAAAAAAAGGGGTTAACACCCCAACTTGAAGCAGCAGATTGACTTCTATGTTCACCTTTTTTTGTTCACAGCAATTATTTGTTTTGCCACAGTTCTCCCCATCTCAACTGGAAGCAGTTAAACAACGTTAATATAACAAATAGTGCTTGGTAATATTTGATGATTTAAAAAAATCTTTCTGTTACTAAAACTCACTTTTCAATAAATTGTACAATACTTGTACACTTGGATATGTTTTCCATTATTTTTAGACTTTGATCATAGACTTTTACTTTCAGAGTTAGTTATTACTTACGTTATTACTAAAACCAGAGATAATCAAATGAGGAGGATTATATTTAATATGATAAAGAGTAGATACATTTATATAGTCTTACAGATACAACCAGCCCTTTGAGGGCAACCATAATACTGATGCGGCCCAAGATGAAATTGAGTTTGATACCTCTACAAGTATAAACCACTTATAAATATTTCATACCTTGAAAACCTTAAGAGACAATTCTCTAAGAGTCTACAAAAATTCACAACCCTCTCACCCTACACATGATATACCTAAAGTCACACATTCATTGTCTTGTTAATCTTTTATAGATAAGCATGTATTCTACTGCCATTTATAACTAAACATTTTGTTCATGAGCACAGGGATTATGTTTTCTCCCACTGTTCTATCACTGATATATGTGACATTTACCAGGATTTTACTAGTAAGATTTGTGCAGCTTTCAGTTATAATTCATAATCCTGTAATAATGTTTCAAAAATTATTTCATTATTAAAACAAGAGAAAGCAATCAATAAGGACTTAGAAATTAACCAAAATTAGGACTTATATTGATTGTAAAAGGGCATTAGCATAAGAGATACTTCATATTCAAGCAAATAGGTGTTACAATTCTACGATACGTACGGTATCTCACAACACTCATCAGTAGTTTTTAAATTATTTACTATATCCACCCAATGATTTCTGACACCTACAGATATATGCAAACATTCGCTACATGTTTGCATATCTCCAACACAGGTCTATACCCACGGGAAACATTCAAGGTATTTTAAGATATGATGGTGTTACAATGATCTTTGTTATCATGTGCACAGTAGGCAGGATAAGGGGAACACACAGACTAGGGGCAGCAGGCAGCTCACGGGTCATATGCAGTCCCAGCGACACAGACCCAAGTAAAATCCTGTTGTTGTTAGTTCTAAAAGGCAAATTACTCCTGCAATCTTGCAGGATTATTTATTCACCTCTAAAGCAAAGCAAAATATCTTACATTCATGGGTGGGAGCATGCACAGACAATTTTTTTTTGTTTTGTTTCTCCCAAAACTATTAGAAATTTTTCAGTCGTTTTTGGTTTTTTAAAAAACGTAACCCTTCTCCTCATTTCTAGAAGTAGTGTAATCCACAGCAGGTCTGTGAGGAGCAAAATTGGCCCCTGCTGTGGTCATTATCTTTTCCTAAGGATTTCTGTTCAACCATGCTCTGTTACAATACATATTGCACTGCTGATACGTAACACAAAGACATCTACCAAGGGGTACCTTAGCAATGGGAAGAATGTGTACTGGTCATAGAGCCACCATGCACTCATAGTAGCACTGAGCTTTTCAGTGACTCGGAGCCATCTTATATAAAATCCACCATTCCCACAGACATAGAACCAAGTGTAGCAAAATGAAGTACATGATGCTGTGATTAGATACTGACATGAATATTAGTGTCTTCCAGATTTATGGCCCCCAAACAGTCACATCAACAAAGAATCATTATGACATTGGCAATGGTCATCTGAACTCTCTGGGCTAGACTGTGTTGAAATTCTGATGGTACTGGATGAGATGGAGATGCAAATCCCCATTTGGTAGAGTGAAATGCTTGTGTACAATCTTCTCACTTTAAATCCAATGACTTTGGCATTACTGACCCTATTACAGCAGTCTTCAAGTTATCTCCTTCTCTAAGGACAAAAGATTGGTGGAGCAATGTTTGTGTGAAGGAAAAGAGCTAAATTATCACTGGATGATGATAAGTATTCCATGCCATGATAATTCTTCCATTATACAGCTAGAAAATCCATGAGACAAACAACAAACACAGATTATGATGGATTTTGGGTGATGGTAGATAGACAGTTCAAGTCAATGTTTTGAAGAGGCCTAACATTTTCATCAATTGGAGGTCCCTAGACTTCACCATTAGGGACGTGGTGGCGCTGTGGGCTAAACCACAGAAGCCTGTGCTGCAGGTTCAGAAGACCACACAGTCGTAAAATCAAATCCACGCGACAGAGTGAGCTCCCGTCACTTGTCCCAGCTCCCGCCAACCTAACGGTTTGAAAGCATGCAAATGCAAGTAGATAAATAGGGACCACTTCAGCGGGAAGGTAACAGCGTTCCGTGTCTGAGTCGCACTGGCCATGTGACCACGGAAGACTGTCTTCGGACAAACGCTGGCTCTATGGCTTGGAAATGGGGATGAGCACCATCCCCTAGAGTCGAACACGACTGGACAAAAATTGTCAAGGGGAACCTTTACCTTTACCTAGACTTCACCATTACAAAGGTTCTTCCCTCAGCAAGTTTGTCTAACAAGATTTGTGAAACAAAGAGGACCTGTATGCTGTGTTCAGCTCAAAGAGAATCTTGCTTAAAAATTGAATCATCTGTAAGTGATTTACTGGCTGGTGATGCCCATATGACAACCAACTATAAGCAGTCTCTGTTCTCAGTTCAGAATATTATCAACAGATTCACCAAAAACACTTTCACCCACCCAAAGGAAGATCTTGTGATTTTCAGTATCTTGAATAAGAACCATAGATCATAGCCAAGCACGCCTTCTCTAAACTAAGGCAGCTGTGACAGATTTTGAACAGCAGTTGGCCCTATGCCTGGAGGTGTTAATCTGATTTTCAGCTAAAAAGGAGATGCACACAAGCTGAAACACTGATATGAGCTTCTGTTCGTCATCTTGCAAATGTTCCGAGTAGAAACTCCACAAAGTGTATTGGTACCTAGACATGCAGACTTGACAATGAGACAAAATAGCTATTAAGTATTGTACATTTTATTTTCCACAAATTGCATTGAGACAGTGAAAACCAGAACAGTTGCTGCCTTGGGTCAGGGAGGAACTCACAAAAAAAGAGGAATTCATAAAAAGGGCATAGCCAATAGGGATGTGCATGTACTCTTTTGTCAAAATGAATCATTCAGTTTTAACAGGCCCTTTTTTGGGAGATCAACAAAAGAGCCCAAAATTAAGGTTTTTCTTTTGTCTTTCACTTGCTATAGTAAAAGAACACAAGCAGACCAGTGCTAGCCATCATATTCAAGAACTATGCAGGCATGTTAATATACACCATGCAATCTTTTCAGCTAAATTCTATTAGCAAATCTCTATGCTGGCTTCTAGATATTGCAGATCATGTGACTTCCTACTGTTCTTCCCAAACT